AGCGGTGGTCAGGAAAAGGGTGGAGTCTCGGGCGATGGGGAGGGGCTGGAGGACCCCACCCACAGTCTAGAGAACAGCCTAGAGCAGGGCTGGGAGCAAGCAGGCCACTGGCCTCACAGGGCACCCCGGCTTTGCGGGCGATACACGACCACTTAGCTCTGCCTTCAGCGTGAAAACAGCAAAGATGTGCGAAGGGCCTGACCACGTGCCACCCCACTCTTTGGCCCAAAGCGTGGCGGCCCCTCCTGTCTGGAAACATGAGAGCGTCGCTTGGGAAGGTGGCTGCCTGGCCCCAGTGCCTGCACTGCCCCCTGGGGAGTCTCAGCCCCTGCCAGCCTCCATGCTGCCTGAGGGGCTTCCAAACAAACGCTGGCCCTCCCGGAGGGGTGCCCAGAGCAGGCGGAACTCAGGCAGGCAGGTGGCGCTCTCACTGGGCTCCCGCAGGCTCCGCACACTAAGAAAACGTGAGGTCAGCCGGACCGCCCCCTCTGTCCACGCTGGCTGTGCCCTGTCCCCAGACCTTCAGGTGGCCGGCCCCCTCTTAGCATCGAGGGCTCGGCGTGGACAGCTCCTCCTCAGAGCAGCCACCGGACCATGGCATGCGAGGGCGCCCATCTCTCCCCCATACCTGGCCTTGCTCCCCACCGCCCCCCACCGCCGACGAAGTCACGAAGTTGCCTGCCTGACACCTCCCTGTTGAGCACCTGTCGGCCACGGCTCTCACCTCGAGAGCAACTCCCTAGAGCAGGACGTGCCACAGCTCCCGGGGGACAGATGTGCAGCCCAGGCTGCCAGAGCTCAGTGTCCTGGGAGAGGCAGCTGGAGAGGTGAGGGTGCAGGAGCGAGGCTCTAAGCCAGCCCGCCGGGGGAAGGGCTCCATGGGCTCAGACAATTCCTATCCCCTGGCACTGGCACCTTGCCTCAGTTTCCCACTCAGTAAAGCAGAAACAGTGATAGTTCCTGCGGCCCAGGGGTCACAGTGTGTCCAGTGACGGGGCAGGTCATGGACACAGGCAGGGCCATTAGCCTCGTGTGGCCCATCAGTGCACGGCCTGGTGACCCCCCTGGCACGGGGCCCTGGGAGGGAGGAGCTGCCCTCAGGGAGTGGGGACACTGTGCTCCTCCCCACAGTACATGGAAGTCATGAGCCGCGGAGACCCCAGGGGGCGGCAGATGCCAGTGTCTGAGGGTGACAGCGAAGAATGGGGACCTCCCAGGGCTCAGCGATCCCCACAAAGTTACAGCCTTTGAACCAAGTGTGACGGACACGGCGGACTCCTGAGTTCCTGTCCACCCCAAGGCTGCCGGCAGACGGAATGTGACAATGAGACCAAGAGGAGTCTGGGACCCCAGGGAGTGCCGGCCTCTCCAGCAGGTGTGGGCCTGGCTCCTGCATGCTGCCCTCTCACTCCCGCTGTCCCTGGCTGCACAGCCCGTCTCCGCACCCCTGTCCCCCACTCTGCCTACGGTCCCTGCAGGCCCTTCGGGTCAGGTACCAGGTCTCCTTCCAGACGTTCCTCCTGCCATTCCCACAGCACGGGTCTCATTCTCCACCTCCACCTCCTGCTCAGGAGTCCCTTTCCCACAATCTGTCACTAGCCCCTGTCCTCTCCCTTCACACTCCCTCCACACCCTCGTCCTTTGGTTCCATCTTCCTCTCTCAGGCTCATCTGTAAAACCCTAACCCTAGCGGCCAACGCTGCCGACTCCAGCATCTATCTCAGCAGGCCTGGGAGAGACATACCCCATGCCAATCATTTTCACAGCAAATTCAGAAAAGAGCACCAATTGGAAATACACACTTCTGGGATTTATCCCAAAGTGAAGCCTGCGTAGCCTCACCCAGGTCATAAGGAAAGCATAGTGATGTTCTAGTTTTTTTTCTTAAAAAAAAATACACACACACACACACACACACACACACACACACACACACGAGGCCCAGTGCATGAATTCGTGCACCAGTGGGGTCCCTTGGCCTGGCCTGCGGGATTGGTCCAAAACCAGCTCTCTGACATCCCTCGAGGGGTCCCAGATTGCGAGAGTGTGCAGGCCAGGCCGAGGGACCTCACCGGTGCATGATCGGGGCTGGGGAGGGATGCGGGAGGTTGGCCAGCCAGGGAGGGACCACGGGAGGGCTCCAGGGCATGTCCGGCCTGTCTCACTCAGTCCCAATCGGCCGGACCCCAGCAGCAAGCTAACCTACCAGTCGGAGCGTCTGCCCCCTGGTTAGTCAGTGCATGTCATAGCGAGCGGTTGAGCAGCCTTAGCATATCATTAGCATATTACACTTTGATTGGTTGAATGGCTGACCGGATGACTGGACACTTAGCATATTAGGTTTTTATTATATAGGAGATATATATATATATATATTTTTTTTTTTTCAGAGAGGAAGGGAGAGGGAGAGAAACATTAATGAGAGAATCATTCATCAGCTGCCTCCTGCATGCCCCCTACTGGGGATTGAGCCTGCAACCCAGGCATGTGCCCTCACTGGGAATCGAACCATGACCTCCTGGTTCATAGGTCAATGCTCAACCACTGAGCCACGCTGGCCAGGCCCTAGTTTCTCTTAATAGTTCTACGCTGAACACACAACCAAAAGCCATGGCTTAGTCTGGTCTGTTTTTAGCTCCTATGAATGGAGTCCTACAGACGCACTGCGTGTGTCTGCCCTCTCTCTGTGACATGTGTCCAGGCAGCCACAGAGCATCCCTGGCATCCTCCCTGCAGCTGGGCAGTTGGGCTGCTCTGGCTCAGGAGTCTCACCACAGCTGTGAGGCCTCGTGCACGTCGCCTGGAACTCAGGATGGACATTTTGGGTGCAGCGGAACTGTCGAGTCTCAGGGCACTTTATCTTCAAACACGCCCCCCAGGGAGCGCCCTCTACCGGAGTGTTATCAGAGTGTAGGCTGCTTCATGGCCACACCAACACATGACACCATCTGTCTCTGGTCACTGGGGCCACTCCTGTGTACAAGCCTCCCTGTGGCTGTAACTTGCGCCTCCCTGGTGACTAATGTGGTTGGAAACCTCTTCATCTGCGGCTTTGCTATTGGGAATCATCTTTCATCAAATGCCTGTTGGACTCCCTGGCCACTCTGCTCCCGGAGGCGCGCTCAGGACCAATGGGCCTTCAGTACGGGCGTCTGGATGCTGCAGCCCCCGAGCTTCCGGAGTCCCAGTGGGCGATCTCTGCCTTGATGCTCAGTGCTCTGTGTCTGGGGCACAGTCTTTGCCCCCCGCCTCCACGGAGCTGTGTCTGTGACCCTCAGTCAGACCTGCACAGCTGGGTCCATCCTGTCTGTATGACGTGGGAATCCAGTTTCTTTCTTTCTTTGTTTTTTCTCCACTTTTCCCAGCACCACTAAAAAAAACAAACTCACCCTGCTCTGGACACACAGCCCAGGTGCTGTCTTCTACGCCATGTCTGTCTGTGTGTCCTGAGCCAACACTGACAGTCTTAAATTGCTCTTACACTTCATCATTTTGATAGCTGATAGAGGAAGTTCTCCTATCGCATTTTACTTCAAGAATATCTTGGCTAGCCCTAACCGGTTTGGCTCAGTGGCTAGAGCATCAGCCTGTGGACTGAAGGGTCCCTGGTTCAATTCTGATCATGGGCACATGCCTGGGTTGTGGGCTCGATCCCCAGGAGGGAGCGCACAAGAGGCAGCCAATCAATGATTCTCTCTCATCATTGATGTTTCTATCTCTCTTTCCCTCTCCCTTCCTCTCTAAAATCAATTTAAAAAATATATTTTTAAAAAAAGTGCACTGAATCTGTAGGTCATTTTCTTAACTGTATCCAAAACTAATCTTTGTATATTGACCGTAGATCTAGCAACCTTGCTAAACTCATTTATTGATTTTAATAACCTATAGATTCTTATAGATTTTCTGTTACAATTGTATCTTGTGAGAATAACATTAAATTTTTCTTTCCAAGCCTTTTAGTTTCTATTGTTTGACTTTCATAGTACAGTGACAAAGACATACAATGAAAATCAAAACAGAAATGGCACCAGCAATGTTGTTTGTTCCCTATCTCAAAGGGAAAGCTTAAGTATGATCCCTGTTCTAGGAGATTCTATACCCTTATCAGATTAAGGGAAGTCCCTTTAATTCCTATTTTAACTTTTGTGGGAGTTCTGTAGCCATGAATGGATACTGAATTTTGCCAATGGCCTTTCCTGGGTCTGTTGGGATGATATGTGATTTTTCTACTTTGTGAATGTGGTAAATTACACTGACTGATTTTTAAGTATTAAAAACAGCTTGATCGGTGTGGCTCACCAGTTGAGTGTTGACCTATGAACCAGGAAATTACGGTTCAATTCCCAGTCAGGAAATATGCCTGGGTTGTGGGCTCGATCCCCAGTGGGGGGTGTGCAGGAGGCAGCCAATCAGTGATTCTCATCATTGATGTTTCTATCTCTCCCTCTCCCTGCCTCTCTCTGAAATCAATAAAAACATATTTTAAAAAAATAAGGCACCATGTTGCCTCACCCCCTGTGACAAATGCAGCACACAGATGCAGGATGTTAGCACACGGCCAGCTGGGAGCACAGGGCTCCCCGTGCTTTCTGCTTAACTGGCCTGCAAACCTAAAACTGCTCTAATAGTAAAGCCCATTCACTTTTTAAGAAAAATGGATAAAAGGGAAGAACCACACCAAAAGGTATTCTCTGTATCTGTGCCTCAGCATTGCACTTTTATGGGGTGACGCTGGGCCCGTCCTTCCTCACAGACTTGTGAGGCTGAACAGGTTCTGTATGAAGTGCTGAGCCAGCACCGGGCACGTGGGCTACAGCACGGACACACTACGCCGGCCTGGGCACACGTGCTGGGCAGAAAGGTGACCTATGGGCATTAGAAGTGGTTACCCCGGGAGGAGAGTGGAGTAGGATCCGGGTGGAATTCAAAAGAGATTCAGATGTATCAGTAAGCTTTTCATTTCTAAAAACCTAAAGAATAAGAGAAACTGAAATGCTTACCTCTAGGTCATCAAGGGAGCGAGTGACACTAAATCTCTTGGATCTTCCGAACGATCTCCGCGCAGAGGTGCGCTGTGAAGTCTGAGCGAGACCAAGTCCCCGCCCAAATTTTGAGCCCTAAACACAAGAAAAGGTAAAGTGAGTTACCTCCAGGGGAGAGGTGCTTAGCTTTGCCTGAGGCACCACCTTGCAGAGAAGAGAGGGCCCAGGAAACCAGACTGTGCCCCCGGGGAAATGTCATGATCTGCAGACATCACCTCAATGAAAACGCAGAGCCACAGCCAAGGCCGCCCCGGTCTCCAGGGGCTCGCTCTGCCCCTGACAACTATGCGCCCAGAGAACGACCGCCTCAGCCTCCCGTCACCAGGATCTGACCCCAGAGCAGATGAACAGCACGTGGGAGCGCAGCGTGGAGAATAATGGTTATTAACAAAGGCTGGTGTCACAAGGCCGCGCTGTGACTTAATTTCATGAGCGTCTGGGAAACTAAAGAATCCCACATTCAGCTGGCGTCTGAAGCCCAACCCGACTCAGGTGCCGGAAATAACCGGCCAGTGAAACATCTTGTTCTTTCTCCGGGAAATTACTAGAATTAATTCACTGTTATTATGCTAGACACTTCTCTGAATGTGATCGTGGTTCCAGCAAATAAGTCACCACATCTTTCACATAAAAGTAGCGCAGCTGAAAATATCTGATTTCCTGGGGACTCGAAACCCTAAGTGCCCTCAGGGCAGGCAGGGGAGCGTGGAAAATCGAGGCCCTGGGGAGGGAGAGGGACCATCTGGGCTGGGCCAGGCCCCCAGGAGGCTGGGAATGTCTCCCAGAGAGTGAGGACGCCCGGAGGGCGGGCCAGCTACTTCCCTCTGTTCCCCTGGAGCCTGGAGCAGCCTTGGCGGCAGCTTCCCCCTGCACTGAGCCCCGGAGAGAGGGCAGCATGGAGAGAGGGCAGCACGCACTGTCAAAGGAACCCATGCCCAGTGCTCCAGCCCAGGGCAGCTCAGACCTTGGAGCGCCCTCTACCGGAGCGTCATCCTACAGATCAGGGCTCTCAGCAGAGGCTGCTACTGTGTCCTCCCTTCCTTGTGACTCGGGCAGTGGTGCAATGTCGCCCGTGGGCGTTGTTTGCACAGGGTCACGATCAAAGCCGGGCATAGTCTCCAGATATGTTTACAATCTATTTTAAAACTTCCTGTCATTGTGCTAGAAAAACGACAAGATTCTCATGTTGAATGCGGGCCCTCCTGGCCTGCCTGAGAGCTGAGCCTGTGGTCAGCTGTGCCACTGGGACTCAGCAAGGCTTCTGACGCCAGGCCTCGCTGGACCACTCGGCTCCCGCAGCCACCTGCCTCAGTGACCGTGCCTCACTCTCGGTTCCCTGTGCCAGTCACTGCTGTGCAAAGGGAGGCACGGAAGCCACCGCCACCACAGAGCAGTGACAGGACTCAACCACAGGACAACATGCAGGCCTCTGGCATCTGGCTCCGTCCCTTTCCCAAGGCCTCCCCTCTGCTCATGGACAGCACGTCCTTCTCCCCTTTCTGGCCTGTCCCCTGCTCATCCTGACCCACCTCCGCCAGCTCAGGCCAGGAGGGACACAGGGGCCCCTCCTCGCCACTCTGGAAGCTTCTGCACTCCAACTGAGGAGGCCGTGCCGGGTGACCCTGAGCTAATAACGCAGGGGAACCCATTTAGCAAAGTAAAAAGCAACCAATGAATTTCAAGAGATTACAGAAGGGTCCCAATAAAACACAATTCATGACTACAATTGTGTGTCACCGTTGTCATTACAAAGGGAAGTACAGGAGGAGGCCCCGCGGAGCCCCAGGTCCGGAGTCTCAGCACTCATTGGCCACCGACGGGCAAGTTGTTAATACGCGGGTCAGTAAAATGAAAAGGAAGGCGCCAGCCTGAGGAGCTCACAGAACCCCCACCAGGTCCCAAAGGAGGCCTGGCATGAGCTGGGGAACTCGAGGCTTATCTCCCAACACGAGCCATAATGATTCCATCACAAGCGTCGCGTTCGTCTGTGACAGGGCGGCAACACCAGCCAATACTGTCCCTCTCGCTACGTTTTTTTAATCCTCACTCAAAGATGTCTCTCTCACGTGGATGTTCTCTCTCTCTCTCCCCCGCCCCCCAACCATCCCTCCCGTCCACTCTCTCTAAAAAAAAATCAATGGAAAAAATGCCCTCAGGTGAGGATTAACAACAACAACAAAAGGGTGTATTGCCTCCGCCACTCGGCCAGAAACCCAATGGACTTCAGAGGCACAGTGACAGGACCTGCAGGCACCAGCAGTAGGAACGGGGAGGAAGGAGGGGAGACCCTTACCTGGGCTGTGAGAAGTCACCATCCCTTCCATCCCCGCCTGTCCTGCCAGAGCAAGGGCCCTCTGGGGATGAGACCACTCAAGGGAGGGCTCCAGGCGAGACGGAGCCTCAGCACACAATCACAGCAGACACCGGTGGCAGCCAACAGAGGCCACAGCTAGGGGAAGCGGCGGGGGACTGGGCAGCTGGTGCGCTGTCATTTCACCAGCCACTGACTAAGTCATCCAGTCAAGTTCACGTTCACTAAACCAACCCCCGCAGGCTTACCTTTTTGTCTTCCTTAGTCTTCCTAGCGTTTCGATGGGGACCAAAAATGTTCTGCATCCCAAACGCCTTCCTGGACCAGTCCCTCTTCTGGGTGCTCAGCAGGGGCTGCGCCAGGCTGCCCTCCAGCCGGTAGCGGTCAGCGGGGATCTTGCTCATGGGAGGGGGCAGCGTGCCGCAGTTGACGCTGGACCACCCGTCAGTGGAGTCCGTGTAAGACTCCTGGTCACTGGCGTGTCCGCACTGCCACTCCTGCAGGACGTGAACCGGAAGCCACCGCTGGCTGAACCCACCGCCAGGGCCCACAGCGCCTCTCTTGGAAGGCGGGACCGAACTCCGCAAGGGGGTTGGGGGGACCTCCACGTGAGAAGTGGGCCCCAAATGCTTACTAAAGTCCCAGCCCCTGTCAGCCTGTGGAGCAGCTTCAAATGGGGGCCCTGCCTCAGGATCGTGGCAAAAGGCCCCATTCCAGGGGGTGGCCCAAGGCTGGGAGCCCCTCCCCCCTGCCCCCTCCCAGGTGCTGCTGCTGGGGCCGTGTCTGCTGGAACTGGCGCCCAGGTCGACCACAAGCACCCGGCTGTTTCTCTCCTCCTGGTTGAAATTCCCAATGCCACTGTCGCTGTTGCTGCTGGTGCTGGTGTTCTGGTGGGCATCGGCATCCCCGTCCGCGAAGGCCCGGGCGCGCACACCCTCGATCAGCTCGCCCATGTCCCGGTACAGCACAGAGATGAACTGGAGGACCGGCAGGGAGGACGCCGGGAATTCCAGGCAGCCATTGGTGTCAGGGTCAGCTGTGCACTCAAACCCGAACCGCCGGGCGATGCCTTGGTGGATCTTGTGATTGAACAAGTCTGGGTCCACCATGAACACGTGGCAGGAAGTCCGCAAGACGCCCTCGCCCTCCCGCGCCAGGCTGCCGTCGTCGCTGCTCTGCATGGTCACAAGCCCGAAGAACCGGCGGTCGTCGGGGCACACGGCGCTGAAGGCCAGCTTCTCGGCGGGGTACTCGGCCAGCACGGCGGCCTTGTCGGTGCACAGCTGCACGCCATCGTGCATGATCTTCATGGTCACCAGGGAGTGGATCTTCTGCTCGGCCCGCAGGCGCCGCAGGCAGCCGCGAATGGCCTGGAAGCTGTCGGCCTCCAGGCTGCAGCTCGTGGAAGGAAGTTCGATGGAACCCAAATAGCCGACGACCATGGCGACGTTTAAAATACTTGCATCTAACCCAAACTCGTCCTGATTCTCTAGTCCAACACTGAAAACCGAGTCGTCGTTGATAACGTGTGCGATCTCCTTGGGAAGCAGGCCGGGCTGCGGGCCGCCTACACTTTCCTGCCCCGGGTCGAATCGCGCAGCCGCCGACTCCGAGAGCGACCTGTGCTTCAGTTTGGAGGGCTCTGAGCTGCTCGCATGCAGACGAGGGTTTTCGAAGATCATGCTGAAAATCCCCCCCGACTGCATGTCCTCCACGACTCTCTCGGCTCTGTTGATGCCCAGCGCTTTGGAATCGAGTCTGGGCTTCCGCCAGCCCTTCCCGTCATAGAAGCCCACCTCCTCGTCGCTGGAGCAAGACTCCAGGTGACCGAGGCCTTCGCCCACCACCATGTGCAGGACCCCGGAGCATTTCCCGATGAGTTTAACCACGTCCTCATGCGACGCTTTCTTCACGTTGATTTCATTGACAGCGAGTATCTGGTCTCCGGCACGGAGGCCCACAAAATCGGCGGGGCTCCCTCTCATGACACAGCTGAGCACGCAGGGCGCCTGGCCGGAAAGGGTGAACCCGTAGCCTGCTCTCCCTCTGGCGACCTCCACACTCCTCAGGCGAGGGGGTGCCGTCCCCGGTGGCGGGCGCTCCACTGTGTCCCCCGCTCTGTACATCTCAGCGCCTCCCAGGCCAGGAGCATAGTTCCCTGGGGGCCCCACAGTTCAGAGGACGCTTGCTGCTGCTATCCTTTTCTAGAAATGCTGCCCTGAGGAAGAAAAACAACAGCTCAGCGTTAAAGAGCCCAGGCCTCACTGCTTCCTGGCATCACCTGAACTTGGAAAGGTATCTCCTAGCAAAACCCGTCACCAAGGAGTCTCCAGTTACCAAGCAAATGTCAGCGGAGGAGAGAGCAAATCTCAGGCTAAGAATTTCCTTCCAAAGTGGGAACTGCTTCCCAGGACGGGTCCCCCTCAATACCGACCCCTCCTGCAAGGCTGCCCTCGGGACTCTGCAGGACCCACTTCCTGGCGCTGTTCCACCCCCCGATTCAGATAGAAGAGAAGGGACCTGGAGACCCTCACACTCACGGTGTGGCCCGCAGCCCAGCCACCGCCAAGGGCTCCCCTGCAGACCGATGTGTCTGAGGGGCATTTGAACCCAGGGCAGAGTCGGACTGAAACACGGCGCTGGCTACAGACTCGGGGTCTCACTTCTGAGGCAGCCCAGGTCCACCCGTGCGTGATCACTAGGAAGGTGTCCCCCGGAAGGCATCTGCTGATGTCTCATAGTCCACCCCCCCCAATTAATTTATGCGAACGTGGTACCGTGTGGGGAAAACATCCGTCTCAAACGCCGCAGTCCATACCACAGAGGCCACCGACACACCCGAGGAAACCTCCGAAAAGAGCCAGGAGCTCAGCACTGACAGGCAGCCCAAGTGTGCCCTGGGACAGAAACCCCGGCTAACGCACTGCCTGCGACGCGGCCATGACCTCACAGCTGAATGTCATGGCGGACAGGGAGCCAGCGCGGCCCTGCTCAGGCTGCCGTGCGGGGCTGGGCTCACACAGGGCTGCTCCGGTGGCTCTTCACCACCCCGCCGCCTCCGGTTTACTGTTAGCACAAGCACATGCCGTGGGGGAACTGACCTCCTTGAAGTACTTCTGCTGGCAAAAATGATTCACCCGGTCTCAGAGTCCATCTCAAGTCCTTGGTAGCTTCACCCCCAAATGTGCGCATTACTGTAAGTTTAGGCAGTGGGTGGGCAGCCACCAACATTATTAGTATGCACGGTCGCTGAGTAACTTACAATAGACTGAGCAGAGGAGTATGCTCTGTTCAAAATGCTCCCATTCAGCATTTTGTTATTATGCAAGTTTTTACATGTTTGTTTGCATTTAATTCAATTCTGGAGGTTTTACCACTTCAAGCCCCAAGAAACCAAAGGCCAAGCTACAGGGGCGTGCGGCAGGCGCCTCGGTTCCGGTCTCCAGGAGCACGACCCGCCTTCCCACTTAGTTCATTGCTAAGCAGCCAAACAAGACTTTACAAACAGAAAAGCAGCTCTTGGAACTGGGAAATACAGCAGAGATAAATCATCAGGAACGAGGGGAAAGCAGTAAGGGAGAGAAGAAATTCAAGACGGCAAATTTAAGGACATTTCATTTCTTTGAACACATCAGAAATTTGTATGCAGTTAATAATGTTACAATGAAATGGAATTCCAAAAACAATATAAAGTTGAAGAAACACAGTTACGCTAGTGTCATATGCCCCACGTAAAGTTTTAAACACTACCCTTGAACACATCCTCCCCCCTCCCACTCAGGCTGCCAGAAGAGGAGGCGGCCCCGAAGGGGGGGGGGGTGCCCAAGGCCTCCGGGCAGAAGGAGAAGGGCCGGGAACAGGATCCCTGAGCAGCTGCTTGAATATTTTATCGCTGGTTCCTGGTGTCTCCGCTACAGAAGGCCTCACACCAAGTAGCATCTCTAACTCAGAACTTTTCCCTTTTTTAATGTGTGGAGAAGAAAATCTAGATTTAGCAGAATATTATACTACTTTAAATTACAAAGGTCCATTTTACTGGTTCAAAAATATTAACATACTAGAGGCCCGGTGCACGGATTCGTGCACAGGTGGGGTCCCTCGGCCTGGCCAGTGATCGGGCCGATTGGGGCCCTCTTGGAGGTTGGCTGTGGGAGCGCACTGACCACCAGGGGCAGCTCCTGTGTTGAGCATCTGCCCCCTGGTGGTCAGTGCGCATCATAGCTACTGGCCGGTCATCCAGTTGCTTAGGCTTTTATATAGATAGTTGACCCTTGAACAGTGTGGGGGTTAGCGGCACCGGAAACCCACATATAACTTTTGACTCCCCGCAAACTTAACTCCAGTCCCTTGGTATCTGTGAGAAATGGGTTCCAGAACCCCCGCAGACACCCAAATCCGAGGATGCGCTAGTCCCTCACACAATGTTGCATGAAACTACGCACAGTCGGCCCTTCACATCAGAGGATGCCCAACCACGGATCAAAAATACTGTTTTCAATCTGCGGTTGCTGACTCCAAGTGTGAAACTTGGGGATACTGAGGGCTGACTACATATTTATTGAAAACCCCACGTATAAGTGGACCTGCACAGCTCAGACCCGCGTTGTCCAAGGGTCACCTGTACTGCATATTGATTCTAACCCTCTGTAACGTGGTTACCTCAAGTAAGATCCACAGGATTACGAACGAAGAGGAACAAGTGTGCACATGTACCCCCTCCGACGGCAAGGACACTGTGCTAGAGCATACTGGCTGGGTCACGCCAGGCACTGTGGACGGCAGACACCTCAGCCTCAGAGGACAGAAAGGCATCCACGTCTGGGAAAACTGTCTCCCTGTCACTGTCTGGCCCGGGGCTCTCCTGTCACTTGCCATCGCTCCCTAGCGTGTGGGGCTTAACAAAGGCACTGAGGTCGGAGCATTCGGAAGGAACTTTTATTCACATCACACTGCAATGCCTTCTGCACACGGGGGCTTCAGGTCTCAGAGGAGGAAAGCAGCTCAGCAAAAGGCCGGGAGCAGACATGCGGTGGCGGTGGCGGACGCAGCAGAGAGGGGGCAGGAGCCAGGGCGAGGGGGAGAGCTGGCAGGGGCTCCCAGGCACCCGACCTCCTGTGCAGGCCAGCGGTCCAGCACTCAGCCTCTTCTCTGGGGCCACCTTGCCCATCTACACCCGCCCCCACCTCCCTCTGGCTCATCTTCCTAACCCTGCTCACACCCATGACGCTTCTCGAGGGACCCAGCCTTACCCCCAGCCTGCCTTCCAAGGCCGCCTCACCAGGCCCCTACCCAAAGCTCACCGTCACCTCAGGCAGGTCCATCCTCACAGCCCCGGGATTTTCCCAGGACTTTCCTGCCCCCTCGTTCATTCGTTCGTGTGTCCATTCAATGACTGTCGAGGGGCTTCCGCAGCAGCCCCAGGCAGACAGTTACGAACAGGTGACTAGAGATGGCCCTGCCCCCAGGGACAAGACCGCTCAGCAGGTCGATATGTCCACACAGGAAGGCCCACAGCCCTGACTCCATTTGAGAAGTTACTCTTCCCTGAACATACCCCCTTCCTGCTGCCCCTTGGCTCAGCTCAGATCCCATCTCCCACCTGAGGCCCCACTAACTCCTCCAACCCTCACCCGCCCTCAACTGCCCTGCAGAGCGGGCCCCACGATCGGGCTGTGCCTGCTGTCCATCGCCAGCCCAGGGCACCACTGCGCAGCCTCCGCAGCCTTCTGAGGCAGAGCGGTGGGCACCGTGGCAGCGGCACACACTCAGCCTCTGGTGCACTGAGGACACACGCAGGCTGTGGGGACACACGCAGGCGTCAGGACAAGGGACAGGTTTGAGGGGAAGCCGTGCGTCTTGAGCAGGGAAGTGGCGCTGGGCAGTCGTGAGAAGCTGGGAGGACTAGCAGCTGGGCTCCACCTGCCAGAGGCTGGGCTGCACAAGGCCAAGGCCGTGCACGGTAGGAATCCTATGTGCGGAAGACCACAATCAGCAGCTCAGGCAGGGCCAGGAGCCCCATCTGGCTCCCCCAGCCCCCCAACCAGGACTGAGCCCAAGGGGCTCAAAGAGCAGGGCTGACCTACCCCCAGCCAGTGGGCCGCTTCCGCCCAAGAGCTCTGGCACCAGCCTGGCGGTGACCGAGTTTCGGGAAAAGTAAACAAGACCAGCCGAGCAACTTCCTTTCAGGATCTACAGCCGATGGGAGTACGGGGCTATTTTTAATTCCAGAAACAAATTCTTGTTCAATAATCTTGAAATATTGAAGGTTAAACCGTGTCAATTTCTCCTTCCCTTTTTATCTCTACTTAATATTTCTGTTTGTGGTTTTTAAACCGGGGCAAAGTGAGCCTATAAAGAGTTGCTGGATTTAGTGAGTCACAATACAGGACACCTAAATGTGAATTTCAGACATAAGACGAATCACATTTAGTGTAAGTACGTCCCAAACACTGCACAGCATGTTGTATCTGGCCAATCTGTGCAGGGACAGACGAGGCGGCCCGTCTTGCCCGGCCTGACCCAGCGGCCCTGGGCTCCTCCTTGCTGGAGCCTGGCTTCCATGATCCCACCAGGACGTCACCTGCACCCCCACTACCCCTCCCAGCCACTTCCCAGGGCAGAGCTGACGGTGGGGCCAGGCCCTGTGCCCACCTGCACAGTGTGACCATCACCCGGCCTCAGCCCCAAACGAATGACCAGGAAGGACAGGCCTCCTATGTGACCCCCCACATGCAAATGCCGTCTTGCCCTCCGCGACCCACGGAAAAGCAGCGACTGCTGGCCGGGCCTGGTCTGTGTTTTCACCGGGGCCACAGGGAATCGTTCTGCTCACGTGTCTCCGTCATTCGCAGGAAGACAAGGCAACCTGCACGTGCACGAGGTCCCAGGCGCCGCTTTGCAGGCATGTGAGGGAGAAGCTGCGAGCCCAGTCCGCACACAGGGTGCTGGGGGCAGACCACGTTTAAAACTATTTTTTTAATATATTTTTTTATTGATTTCAGAGAGGAAGGGAGAGAGAGAGAGAGATAGAAACATCAATGATGAGAGAGAATCATTGATTGGCTGCCTCCTGCACACTCCCTACCGGGGATCGAGCCTGCAACCCGGGCATGTGCCCTTGGCTGGAATCGAACCTGGGACCCTTCAATCCGCAGGCCAACTGAGCCAAACCGGCTAGGGCGGCAGACCACTTTTAGATGCAAGGGGGG